AGGGTAATTAACTGGATAAGGGTGCACATTTATTGTTGAGTGAGTGAGAGCTGTTATAGGAGAACAGTATTGAGCTTGTGTGAGATACGTTTCGGGTGTAATTAATTGTCCATGTGAAAACTAATTGACCACTCTAGCTAATTATGTAATTAGCCTTCTCATCATGAATTCACGTAGTGGGAGAGGATCTGTCAGTATTTGTGTTAACGTAATTTGCTCGGGACTAATTACCTTTTTGGGGTATAGCAATTAGTGGCTCATGATAGTTAATGGAGTAATTAACGTCTGGAGTCTTGAGGACTCAGATGACTCGTTAAAGCGAGGTCATGGAGCTAGCATAAAACGTTATATTAATCATATCCTGTCTGAGGACAGTGGATTAAGATGCACTCATGTTAATTTGGGGAGTAATTAAATCCTCTCCCGTGAATTCACAGTTGAGTGCAAAGTGAGACGTATTTATGTATGATTAATTATCGGTCCTGGTGACAGTTAATTAATTGCTCAGAGTTAATTAGGGTAATTAACACTCATTAAAGTAAATATTGACACAGACTGGTGAGAAGCTACCAAGTTAGGGTAGGCTTAGTTAACGTAACTCAATGGAGATGTATTTAGTGGTCCGTTTGACCTTAATTAAGAATTACTCACTGAATACTTGCAAGGAGTCAAGTGTGATGTAATATAAGAGAGTTTTGAGTTATTGTTAATAAGATGACTTGTGTTAAAAGAGACAAGGGTTAATGATTAACGTAGAGTACCATCATGTTGTTGTCTATGAGAGACAATTGTTTGTGATTAACGTAGTACTTTGTTGCTGACTGCTGTGATCAGTCAATTAACGTAATTAATCACATAATCAATTTTGTAATTGATTGAGGTAATTTTTTTTGTTTATCGTCTGGTGACGAGAGTAAAGTAACTTAGGGATTGTTGGAGCTGTTTCCCAGAATCCCACCTTGCCTGACTTTGTTTACTGTTTACAGTGCAACTTCTTGTAGGGAGTTGCAAAGAGTGTTCACATTGGTTGTGATAGGGAAAGTCACTGTTGGACTAACCGCCTAGTTACGGGTGTCACTCCTGTTTGGAAGGAGGACCCTTAAGCTTGTGATTATAGTATCTGTTACCATGAAGCCGTGACAATATTGATTGCTAGCTTGTGTCATCAGTGGGCATCCATCATTGTTCAGTTAGTTCACTGGTCAGCCCGAAGTGTCAGCAAGATGGAGACTGCTGTCATTTCTCGAGGGGCTGCTGAATAGCTGTGTTGAAATTGCCACTGGATGGACATTAACGTAATGTAGTCACTCTCTGTAGTGTAACTTAGTCTGTGATATTTTTTTTTGATTTGCAATATTGCGTCGTCAATGGGCACACCTGTGTTCAGGTTAGTTCAGTATGCAGCTGCACAGCAAGGGTTGCTATTTAGCTGTTTGTTATAGTGCCCTGGATGGACATTAACGTAACGTAAACTCGATATTGTAGTAGTTTAGTCTCTTGTTATTAATAAATTGTTATGTTATAGAAACGGTCTTTGATGTCAACCCTTCACTGATTCTTTTCCACCCATGTTCTGCTTTATACGATTGAATGTTGATGTGATGTTTTGATGACGGCTGTTCTTGGGAATTCGAATTCCAATTCATAGCGCCACATCAAATGTAAATATTTGATTGTGAGAACCCGTCGGTTACCCTTTATTAGTTTTAACGTCCTGTTTAACTAGGAGGAACCAGCGGCCTATTGTGGACAGGTTTTCACCCCTATTGGTGGAAGCCTGGCGGTTTGCTCCCGCTTTTCCTTTTTCTATTGGACTCATGCTTAACTGCCGTGAGCAGCCTTTAAACTTGTAGTCCACCTCCTAAAGGAGGTAGGCGTAGAAAAAAAATCTCACATGCGCAATCATTACCACAACGGAGCCAGGTGTTTGGGTTCTGGGCGCCCTCCCAGGGAGAACACCAATCAACAGCCCTCACTGTCCGTCAGGCAAAACACCTCCCAGATTCCCTCATTCCCCTCATTCCCACAGAAAATTTATTAGAAGCTATCAAAGCAACATCGGCCAGAACCTTGCAACACATCCCTAAAGCAGCCCGCTCCCATGCAGCAGCCAAATTATCTGTCCTCCTGAGAAAGGTCAACGACTCTCCTGGAACGACCCAAACCTGGCATAACCTCATACTGTTTGGCAACATATGTCTAGCCACCCCTGCAAGGAGAGACAAAACCTTCGCTGCCTCAGTCATCAAAGCTATAAATGATTTTCCCAGGGGGGATAACCAGGTGTGTCTTCCCATTCGCGCGAGAAACACCCACGGCAGGAAGAGCAACAGTGGCATATCCGAGACATCAAAAATCAGAACATCAGTCACCAAGAAAATAGAAGAAGGAAACACTATTGGCGCAATAAGAGTCATCACCAGTGAGGACTCAATTGCCGACAGAAATGCCGCAACAGCTCAAGCCCTAAGGGAGAAACACCCACCCAGGGCTCCGCGTGAGGACGACATTGTACAAGTGGGGGCCACCGGAGCAGAACCTCTCTGGATGGCCGAATCTGTGGTCCATAAAGCAGCCTTGTCCTTCCCTACAGGATCAGCAGGTGGGTTCACTGGACTAAAACCCAACCACATCAAGCAAATGCTCAACCCTGCACTGGGTGACATTGCAAAGAACCTCTTTGTGGAACTAACCAGATTCACCAACACATATATAGCTGGCAATATACCAGAGGCCATAAGACCTATCTTTTTTGGAGCATCTCTCTGTGCTCTAAAGAAAAAGGATGGAGGGATCAGGCCAATAGCTGTGGGTAATTCTCTCCGGAGTCTCGTCGCAAAGGCTGCTGCAAGAACAGTTAGTGATGCAGCGGCCAACATGCTGAAGCCAAAACAGCTCGGGTTCGGCATTCCACGAGGGTGCGAGGCGGCAGCCCATGCAGCTCAAGCCTTCATCGCCAACATCACAGACGAAAAGGCCCTGATCAAGCTAGATTTAAAAAATGCCTTCAATTTGGTGCGGAAGGATGCTGTACTCCGTGCAGTTCATAGTCATTTCCCTTCCCTCTTCCCTTTTGTACATTCATGCTACAGTATGGATCTAAAGTTACTTTTTGGCGAACATGAAATTGACTCGCAAGAAGGCGTGGAACAGGGTGACCCCTTGCTCCTCTCCTTTTCTGCTAAGTCATCAAACAAGTCACAGAGGTCCTGTTCAGCGAGCTTAACATCTGATTCTTCAATGATGGTACCCTAGCTGGTTCCCAAGACTCCCTCCTGGAGGATATCAAAAAAATCCAGGAGCAAGGTGCAGTTTTAGGCCTCACCCTGAATCCTTCTAAATGTGAAATAATATGTTCCAACTAGGGCATAGTAAAGAGAATAGAGGGTCTTCTGCCAAATATCCATAAAACTAAACCTGAAGACAGCCTTCCCAGGTTAACTTACTTTCTGAGGTGTTCACCATCTTACAGTAGCCAAAAACTAGGTGAGTATGACCGGTTACTGAAATCAATGCTAGAAAAAGCCCTAAACCTATCTCTTGATGACCTACAGTGGAAACAAGCCTCTCTTCCGGTAAGACTTGGGGACTTTGGAGTTCGAACAGCAACCCAAATCGCTGTTCCAGCCTTCCTGTCCTCCTCATCGGCATCCGACGACCTTGTGAAGGAAATTCTACCTGCCTACTTACATTGGCTGGCAGGTGTACATGATCTCAATTTTACACGCTGTGCCACAGAGTGGGCCTCTCGTGCAGGAAAATCCTTAATCTCAACCACCATCCTCGAAAGCCCACAAGCAATCCAGCTGGGATGGCCCCATTGTAGACCAAGTTCCTGCAGAGTGCCTGGGTGCTGCAACAACACAACACGACATTGCTCGCCTCACAGCAGTAGCAGCCCCACATGCAGGGGATTTCTTGTTAGCAACTCCAATGTCGGCAACTGCCACGCATCTCACACCACACTCCCTCCGAATTGCTGTGGCCCTCCGCCTTGCTGCCCCAATCCACACCAGATATAGGTGTATTTGCGGCGAGGTGGTGGCTGACAGGTACGGCCAACATGGCCAATCTGACAAAGCACAGGGGGATGGCACTCGAGGCACAGTGAAGTTAACGACATCATCAAGAGGAGCCTAACCACAGCTGGATGCCCAGCTGAAAGAGAGCCCCGTTACCTAACGCCCCATAACTCTGATGTTCTTTTTGGTCACCCGGATGTTATCACAGTGAACCCCTGGAAGAACGGCAAGCAGTTGGTATAGGACTACACGTGCGTATCAACCCTGGCTAACACCTACAATGACCTCAGTGTTGCACAACCAGGTGGCACTGCCACCCACAGGGAAGCAGCCAAATCCCGTAAGTATAGAGAACTGGTTCACTCTACAATTTTGTCCCCATTGCTTCTGAGACACTCGGCACCTGGGGTAAAAGTGTTACCTGTTTTTTGAAGGAACTGGGTTCTAAGCTCATTGAAACAACAAGGGACCCTAGAGCTGCCAGCTTTCATTTCCAGCGCCTCAGTGTGGCGATACAGAGGGGAAATGCACACTGCATCCAGGGTTCCTGCCCGCCATCTGAGGAGCTGGAGGAACTCGACAACCTATGTTAACCATCTTTGTAACCCATATGTAACTCCTTTTTTGTAACAAAGTTCAAATAAAGTAAAAGTATATGTGTACATACAAAAGAATGGGGGTGGTAGGAGAAGATAATATTAGTGTTCAGTGAGAAACCACAAGGTCTCCTCTGAATACTTTTTATTTTCTTCTCCGAGGCTATGGGTCCCCACATTGGCACCAGAGGTGGTACCCTCAAAAACTTTATATATATATATATATATATATATATATATATATATATATATATATATATATATATATATATATATATATATATATATATATATATATATATATATATATATATATATATATATATATATATATATATATATATATATATATATATATATATATATATATGTGATGTTGAATATGACTGAGAGGGTAAGATCAATGATTTTAACACGAATCTTCTCAATATTTCTTACGTTCTTCTTCACTGTCGAGGGTAATTGAAAAATTAACTTTCCAAATTTCATTTCACATTTTTATTTATTGTATGACGCCTAGAAGCATTTGTAAGAGATTTCTCACATTTTCAAAGACAAATTTTTATGTACTTCGTTTCATGCTTATATTCGTTTATGGGTGATGAAACAAGAACAAATGGGTAATCATAAGGTAATGATAATTTTACAGTCACAGCATATTATTGCGTATTTTCTCTTTTTGGTTCTGTGTTGGTTCGGGGTCTTGAAGTGGGTAGAATGTAATTATGTATTAATTGGCAGTTGATTGCTGGTGTTGACTTTTTGATGTGTAGGGCCTCGCTAATGTCGAGCTTCCTGCTGTCGCTGTATCTATCGATAATTTCTGTGTTGATTGTTTAGATTTCTCTGGTGATGGTCTGATTGTGTGAGGAGATTATATGCTTCTTGATGAAACCCTGTTGTTTATGCATTGTTAATCGCCTAGAAAGAGACGTTAGAGCCTTCAAGGAGCATATAATCTCCTCACACAACCAGACCATCACCAGAGAAATCTGATGATGGTCTGGTTGTGTGCCACCTATGTAATGTAAATGGGTGGCTAAGGCCACCCATTTACATTACATTAACACAGTAAATAACTGTAGTACTAACAAATACTGTAGTCTAATTAACACCATATGTGGTATTATTTATATCAAGCAAACGGTAAATGTTTATAGCCAATTATTATCACCCCCAATTTATGGGATAAGTTGTCCACATTTACTCCCAACTAGGTGCAGGTAAAACTGGCAGGCTCAATTTAAAATACAGTCCACTTAGAATCATAATTCAATACTGAAGTAAATAAAAAAATAAAGACAAATAATCACTAATTAAGAGCACAAACTGCCTGCTAGGATTATCCCACATACGTTTGGTCAACTGGCAAACCATGCACACCATTTATAATGGCCACTACAATCATATACACAATTTGTTTTACCGGATACAATACTTCTTATGGTTGATGTAGAGATCACTGTGGCTGGATCACTGTTGAGCGGTCTAATTTCAGACCTCTGTAGTGCCGCGAATGCGAACCTCAGGGAGACACACTGTCTTCCGTCTTTGTTTACAATCTCTCTCTCCGTGTATGATGTATGAGCGCATGACTCGCCGCTACTTCCCGCAGCCTGTGTTCCAATACTATATTTCCCAAATATTCTATCTTAGGGATTAAGGGAGCTAAGCTATACTTTATGGTGTATTTATTTATATTCAGTCCCATTAAATATTTTGTTATTAAGTTCAAACATGAGACTGTTGTTTAAGGAATAATTGTAGTTTAATATATACGCGTTGTTGTGATGACATCACAAAATCTCCCATTCTCTTTAAAGTTTCTGTTAATGGCTAACTATAGAAAATTAACTACATCGATGATGCTTACTATGTTAACATTTATGTATCGGATTTCCGACAATTCGTTACCAATAATAACGGAGATTAAAGTAGACTAACGCATCCTCTTTTTAATATGTTTCTCGTTAAATTGTCTCACAAATTTAGTTTCATTGACATAAAACACACTAATTCAAACAACCCAATTTAACCTGATGACCTTGACAAATCTAGTAAAAAACCAGGCCAATATAGGCTATTCTTATCCACAATTACTTAACAGAAAAAGCCTTCAGCGGAATCATGCCAAACGATCAAACAAATTAAAAATTTATTCAGAACTCTTCATAATTGCACTTCATCAAGTTTCCATTCATCCAGTAATTTGATTTAAACATCACAGTTAACTGTGACTGCTACAATAACAGACTCAATTAAATTTTTGATGACAACTGACATCAAATGAATAGTCAGATTTAAGATTGGAAATTCATGGTAAACTACACTTAGGTAAATACACACACACGCACATACTGACAAGGTAGATAAGGTGAATACACACACACACACACACACCAGTTTGTGGGGTGGGGGGGGGGGAGCTGGTTGCTGAGCGGACAGCATGCTGGACATGTGATCCTGTAGTCCCGGATTCGATCCCGGACGCCAGCGAGAAACGATAGGCAGAAATTCTTTCACCCTATGCCCCTGTTACATAGCAGTAAGTAGGTACCTGGGAATTAGTCAGCTGTCACGGGCTGCTTCCTGGGGGGGTGTGTGTGTGTGGTGTGGAGAAAAAAGTAGTAGTAGAAATAGTTGATTGACGGTTGAGAGGCGGGCCGAAAGAGCAGAGCTTAACCCCCGCAAGCACGTCTAGGTGAATACACACATATACTGATAGGGTAGATAAGGTGAATACACACACACACACACCGTGTTTGAGGCGGGACGAAAGAGCCAGAGTTCATCCCCCGCAAGCACAACTTGGTGAGTACACTCATGGCCCAACAGCTTTTCTCACGTCCAGCTCCAATAGGTGCTTCTTGACCTCATCTCTTGTAATTTCGAACCTTCCAAGGTCGCCTGGTTTGCTGCCACCTCTCCAAGCGTCGTGACGTCTCCTTGTTCCATTGTAAAGACCTCCTGGACCCTTTTGTTGAGTTCTTCACACACCTCTTTGTCATTTTCTATGTACCTGTCCTCAACCATCCTAAGTTTCATCACCTGTTCCTTCATTGTGGTCTTCCTCCTGATGTGACTGTGTAGTAGCTTTGGTTCGGTCTTGGCTTTATTAGCTGTATCATTTTCATACCTTTTCTCAGTTGCTCTTCTCACACTAACATACTCGTTCCTGGTTCTCTGGTATCTCTCTCTACTTTCTGGTGTTCTGTTATTACGGAAGTTCCTCCATGCCCTTTTGTTCAGCTCCTTTGCTTTCGTACATTACCTATTAAACCACGGATTCTTCTTTTGCTTCTCGGTTTTTTCCATTCGGGACGGGATAAACTTGCTTACAGCCTCCTGGCACTTTTGGGTGACATATTCCATCATGTCTTGTACGGACTTGGTTCTGAGTTCTGTGTCCCATTGTATATCCCTTAGGAATTTATTCATCTCCTCATAGTTTCCCTTTCGGTACGCCAGCCCTTTGTTTCCCAGTTCTTTTTGAGGGGAGATAATTCCTAGCTCAACCAGGTACTCAAAGCTCAATACACTATGATCACTCATTCCCAAGGGGGTTCCCAACTTAACTTCCCTTATATCCGACTTATTTAGGGCCAATATCAAATCAAGCAAAGCTGGTTTATCCTCTCCTCTCATTCTTGTCGGTCCCTTGACGAGTTGCCTTATAAAGTTTCTTGTTGCCACGTCCAGCAGCTTAGGTCTCCATGTGTCTGGTCCTCCATGTGGATCTCCGTTCCCCCAATCTATCTTCCCATGGTTGAAGTCTCCCATGATTAGTAGTCTGGATCCGTTCCTGCTAGCCACAGAAACTGCTCTCTCTATTATATTGATGGTGGCCATATTGCTTCTATCATATTCCTGTCTGGGTCTTCTGACATTCGGTGGGGGGTTATATATGACTACTACTATAAGTTTCTGTTCTCCAGTTGCTATGGTGCCTGATATGAAGTCAGTGAAACCTTCACAGTTCTGATTTACCATCTCTTCAAAACTACAACCTTTTCTTATCAGCAAAGCTATACCACCTCCTCTTCTCCCTTCTCTCTCTTTCCTCACTACATAGTAGTCATGTGGAAACACTGCATTTATTATGGTTTTCGTTAGCTTTGTTTCTGTGAGTGATATTATGTCTGGGTTTTCTTCTAGTGCCCGTTCTTTAAGTTTACTTGTTTTATTTGTAATCCCATCTATGTTAGTGTACATTGCCTTGAAGCTCACTTTCTTCTGTTCATTTTCTTGTCCCCTTCTTGGCGAGCATTCTGCTGGTGGGGAAAGCTGTTCCCTGGGTGAGAAGATCTGTGAGGTGGTATGAAAGGTCCCAGAGGATTTTGGGGTGGGGGTGGGGGTTCAAGGGAAGGGTGGACAGGTAGGGTGTGGGTTAAGGATATAGGGGGGAGGTGGGATAGGAAGGGTATGGGATGAAGGGGGAGGGGGAACAGGGGGAAAAGGCAGAAGGTGGGACATGGTGGGAATGGGGGAGGGGTGACAGGGTCAGAATGGGGTGGGTGGGGGGGATGGAGGGTTGGGTTAACATTTGGATGGGGGGCAGGTAGGGTGAGGGAAAGGGATGGTTTCTATGCAGAGGGTGGTGGTGGTGTTGCCCTCCCCTTTGGTATTGCTGGGATGCTGGTTGTGGGTTCCCCTCTTGTCTCTGGGACTGTTGTGTTGGGGGCTGTGACTTCCTGGTTTACTCCTCTCTCCCTGCACTTCTTCCTTGCCTCTGCTGCCCTGGCTCTCTCCTCCTTCGTCCTGTCCCTCTACAGGAATATATTTGTGTGCGTGTGTGTTTACTAGTTGTGTTTTTGTGGGGGTTGAGCTTTGCTCTTTCGGCCCGCCTCTCAACTGTCAATCAACTGTTTACTAACTACTTTTTTTTTTTTTTTTTTTTTTTTTCACACCACACACACACACACACACCCCAGGAAGCAGCCCGTGACAGCTGACTAGCTCCCAGGTACCTATTTACTGCTAGGTAACAGGGGCACTTAGGGTGAAAGAAACTTTGCCCATTGTTTCTGCCTCGTGCGGGAATCGAACTCGCGCCACAGAATTACGAGTCCTGCGCGCTATCCACCAGGCTACGAGGCCCCTAACCTCGTGTGTGTGTGTGTGTGTGTGTGTACTCACCTAATTGTGCTTGCGGGGGTTGAGCTCTGGCTCTTTGGTCCCGCCTCTCAACCGTCAATCAACTGGTGTACAGATTCCTGAGCCTACTGGGCTCTATCATATCTACATTTGAAACTGTGTATGGACTCAGCCTCCACCACATCACCTCCTAGTGCATTCCATTTACTAACTACTCTGACACTGAAAAAGTTCTTTCAACATCTCTGTGGCTCATTTGGGTACTCAGCTTCCACCTGTGTCCCCTTGTTCGCGTCCCTC